TCTCATCGACTACGCGGAACGGCGTATGCGACAGTGCCTGCAGCGCCATCAGGTACAAGATGGTCGAGACCGAGCGCTCGCCACCAGACTGCCGCTGGCCCGTCAAATGGTGCAGCTTTTCCGTATCGCGGAACTTGACCAAAATGTCGATCCCCCATTTATCATAGTCCTCCTCATCAACCGCGAGCCGCACTTCGCCCGCGCAGCCAATCTTGTCAAATGCCGCGGCAAAGCTGGTGCTGATGCGGCCGACCAGCGCCTTAAGCTCCGGCTCCCACTTGTTTCGGACTTGCGCCATCTTGGCGCGATGCTCGTCCAGCCGTCCCTGAGCATTCTCCATCCGCCCGCGGATCCGCTCAATTTCTTCTTTGCGCCGCTCAAAGTCGGCAATCACGCCCGCGTCCGTCTGGTTGATCATATCAGCGCGCGCTTCTTGCTCGGCTAGAATTGTCTCTAGCTCCTCCAGTGTCTCGTCGGGGTACATTTGGAGGTAGTCTGCGCGCACCGCATCGCTGTGCCCCTCAAGCCCGGCTTTCGCCTCCTCGAGTTCCCGCGTTGCTTGCGCTTTGAGCGCGTCAAACTCGGCCACGGCTGCTTCCAAATCCGCACGCACTTGCACCAACTGCGCCTCGGCGTCGGCCATCCGCTCTTCAAGGTCAGCGTTTTCTGCAGAGAGCTGCATCACGCGCAGCGACGCGATCGTGCGGCGGTAAAATATCGCCATTGCTTCCTTGATGTCTTTGAAAAACGCCAACGCAAGCTTCGCTCGCTTGATGTTGACTTCTTTGATCTGCTCCTTGATTTCGAGCTCTTGCTCTTGGATCGACGGTCCGTTTGCGTCTTCCTCAGTGAAATTACGGAGCTTGAGTTGCTTGATTCCTGTAAGAGCGGGCGAGTCAGAATAGATTCCTGCCCTGTTTAATGTGTTCCATCTACGGCAGTCTTACCAAGGTCGTTCAACATGCGGTCGTATTGCCCTTTTTGCTGCTGGATCGCTACTCTGCGGGCCGTGAATACTTTCTAAATTCCCAAATCAGCATCGAGCGCAAACACGTTGAAGCAATGACGGGGACCGTTGAATTGAAGGCGCCCATCTCACCTTTTCCTCGCGCAAATCTTGGTCCTGTTTCCGCTTCTTATCCATCTCCTTTGTAAATATTTTCGCCCTCTGCACAAGCGTAGCCTGATCCGTCGTGACGCGCTCAAGCTCTTCTTCCAGCTGGGCTTTACGTCCAGTGTCGACTGAAGTCTTCATATAACGCGCATCACGCAATTGCGAGGCAGTAACGGCGTGGTTTCCATACGCGCGGCGGATCTTGTATGACATTTTAACGGAGATATACGCTTGGATTCGCGGGTCGCGTTCGATCTCAGCAGTGTTAGTAAGCTCCCGACTTGATATTGGCTAGCGACATATCGAGTCAGACCCCTTTTGTTCTCATCACGTATGCCTCGAAGATTAATAAAAGGCAGAAGCTTACGATTTTGTGGAGACGTGCTTCCTGGCAGAGGACCGACAGGATCTCTGGGGGTCCATCGATATAGTCAAGCAAATAGCCATCGAATCCCATTCGCTGGATCTAGAGAACAATGAAGAGGTTTCAATCCGCTGGTCACCCGTTTCTTACAGAGCCGCCATTCTCTCTACCTCTTCAACCGAAATGTCGGTCTGCCATGAGTCGAGCTTCCGCGCGCACATGAACACGCTAACGCGGAGCTTGCGCCTGTCGATCAGTTCATTCAACAGCAGCTTGTAGTCTGCTTCGGTTTGTGTGACAAAGTTCTGTACAAGAAAACCCCAATCGAAATAATGTTAACGCCAGACCTTTGCACTTACTTGTGCGATGTAGCGCTGGTTTACCATCATGAGGCGCCACGGGATGTTGGCCTCCAGCGCGTCAGCATACGCAGCGTTCTTGGCATTGACTTCCAAGCAGATGGGCTCAAACACCTTTTTCTCAAACCTATGCTGGTTTTCCCGAAGCCACATTGTCGCCTCGTAGGTTTGCGGGTTATCCTGGCGAATGAGCTGCAGCCGTTGATTGCGAACATTGTCGAGCCCTTGGAGCTCATTGTACAGCCGCTCCTTGTGCATCCGAAGCTGTCCGCCTTCTTCATTAATTTCACTCTCCTGATTTCGAAGAATCGTAAATGCCTCGCCGATAGCCCGGAGCTCCACGTTTTTGGCCTCAATCTGGCGCTGCAGCTCAGCAAGTTCTCCGCCCGCGGCGCCCTGCGAAGCGCCTTCCCCGTCAAGAATTCCCTTTTCCACAAGCTGAGCCTTAAGCCGATCAATCTGCGTCTCCATCTTGGCAATATCGGCCTTGAAATCTTCTATCCGCTTGGCTTTGTCCTTTTCCCGCTTCTGGATGCCCGCCAGCTTGCGCAAAAGGTCATCGTTTTGTCCCTCCGCAGCCTCTAGCGCTTCTGACCGCGCTTGCAGGCCCGATCTCCTTGACGTGAGTTTCTCTTTGTGTTTTTGAGTCAGCGCCTGAACCTCGGCCTTGAGCACCTGCGCCTCGGTTTCAATCCGTTGGTGCTCCTCCCGTAATGGCGCGGTATCTTGCTCCAGGGCCTGATACGCAGCGCGCGCGGCCAATTTTCGCGTGCGCGCAACCATCCATCGCGCCCGCGTGCCCTCATAGCGAACCCAGGGTATCTTCATTTTCAAAACGTCGATTTTGCGCACGACGGATTCGCGCTCGCGGTATCGGGCCACGTCGCGCTCCAAAATTGCATTCCGGCTTTCGAGATTTTCGAGCTGTTTCTTGTCGTCTGTGGTCGACTAAAAGGGGAGGGACATTGGCGACCGCGTTAGTCATACTAGGTTAGCGCCGCCGCTGTGAGGGGACGGCCGCACTGCGTACCCCTTCGAGCTTTTTCTCATCTTCTCGGAATTTGATGAGTTGCTCGTGCCAAGCCGTGAGTTTTTCGTTTCCCGCCGCACGTTCCGTTTCGATCAGAAGCTCCCGCGGATTCATCTATTGTTTCCAAAACCCGTTAGCGCGCCGTGTCAGCGCGTCTGAGCAAGTGCGATGACATACCTGTGCAAACTCGGAGACTTTTTCCTGAGGCAGGAAGGAACTGAAAGCACACGACAACACGACTTTAGCGTTTGTCATCCACCACGCGTCTTGGCGCACTAAACAATCAAGAACTCTACCACAGGTTGTCCACTTGAACCTTCATTGCCGCCATCTTTTCCCTTAGGACCTTTTCGCTGACAACGTCGCCTGCACGAGGAATGGAATGTGAGCCGCATGCACAGCCAGCGACGCATTCGGTTACACTGCCGCGTGGCTAACCGTTGTAATGCCACGTATTTGCATTCCGCTCGGCGCCCCTTTTGAATCGCCGCTTCACGGTTACATTCCCGCCACGCCCCTTGTGCTTGAGCTCAATCTCGATCGAAGCCTTTTCCTTTCCGTCTTTGATGAAATCTTGCAGCGTCTTTTGCCGTCCAAGCGCCTGCAGCGTTGGCAAACGAAAAAGTACCGTCAGATGTGGACTGGCATTTCAGCTTTCTGCCCCCACGCGCTGAACAAGCATATTCCCGGCCTCGGCCTCTTCTCGTCTTTGCTCTGCCGTTTTCTCCTTCTGACCTGACCCTGCGCGCATGCCAGCGCGTAATGAAAATCTCTGCCGTCGGCCGCCCACTCTAACCGTTCTCCGCTTCTTCCATCGATGTGTCTGTCGCGAGCGAGACACGCTGCCTATGGTGTCGCTTTCTCTCCTCCCTCTTTGACATTCCGTTCAGCTCCAGCCTCCTAGTCGGCCGTTCCGCGAAGGATGGCCAAGTGTTGACACCATAACCCCACATGCCCTACGGTTGCTCTCCCAATCTCTCTCCCTCTGCCTCTCTCTCCGCCTCCCTGTCGCATGTCGCGACTTCCCCACGGATGCTTACATCTGGCCGGCCTCCAAGCCCGAGGGCAATAGCGCACACGAGCGATGATTTTCCCGTTCCATTCGGCCCAATGATCATGTTGAGGTTTGGCCCAGGCCGAAACTCGACCGAGTCGTATGTGATGAAATTGCGTAGTCGAATGCGCACAATCGAGCCGGCGGGGAACCTTTGTAGTTGACAGAGAGAGAGGTATGGCGTTCAAAGTCAGAAGCCACGAGTGGTGGCTCTCATATAACAACCAGTCTGCTGGCCCCACGGAATGGCCATACCTGGCCTCCTCTTCGGTCTCTTGCTTGCCATTCACTCGTTGCCGTTTCGTTCGCGGTTGGTTATTCTCTGCCTCGTCGTCGGGCACCTCGTCGTCAGCTTGGTCCTCCTCAGCTTCGTCGACCTGGCCGTCGCCCTCATCGTGAGCCGCACCGTTCGCCCCCTCTACGTCTGCTATTGAGCGTCGCGTCCGTAGCCGATGTGACATTGGCGGCGAAGACTCTAGAATTCGGGAATGTTGAGGACCTCGAAGCGGGAAACTGGGGATTTGTCTGAGCTCTCGGACGCGAGGACATGTTGATATTACCTTTTTAAGTTTAGATTAAAGTCACAACCCACTGACAGCTCACACAGCCCGCCGGCCTTCTCGCCGGAACTCTGAGGAGCAGCCCATCTTGCCATGTTATCGCATGGGAGACTTGGCGAAAGAACAATACTGTGCAAAACAATGGTATCTTTTAAGGACTGAGAAGCCTTTGTGCTGGACATACGAGTTGTTCCGGGAGGACTTTTGACAAATATGCAACCATCCTCTACATGACGCCGAGTTTCTATGGATGGGGCGCCGTTCCGGCGCCCCAAGCTCATAGACTAAACCCGGGGCGCATTACAAGCAACTGTTTCCATCAGAGCCTCAAAATTAATGGAATGGTCACGCATATCCGTCGCATTGACGAGGATGCTGACAGCAGCTGCCGCTGACTGTCCCGTTCTTGCAACGCCTCGCGATCTTTCTTTGCCTTTGGTTCGTTACTCCCGAGGTCGTTGCCCATTTTCGCCTTCCCTATCGCATTCCCACGAGCGAAAAAAACGAAAAACGTTTTCGCACCCAGCGCGGGGGTCGAACCCGCAACCTTTGGATTAGAAGTCCAACGCGCTACCGATTGCGCCAGCCGGGTGGTAGACATCTCCCAAACGTCCCCATAGGCCTTGATTCAATGCAAATGAAATACCAACTGTCCACTTTTGCTTTTGTCAAATGCGCTCGGTTCCCCGCACGGACCGGTCACGTGAAACTGGGCGCCTGGATAAGCGTATTTCCGAACACACATATCAACCCAGCCGACTTCAATGGAGTGAAGCCCAACCTGTTGAAACCCCTCAAGTACCTCCACGCATACCCATGATACGGCCTTCACCATACCCGCGCGGCCAATTCGTCGTCGTATATAATTGCCGCAAAACACGAAATGGTTTATGCACCGAGTGAGTTTCCGTTCCAAGAATGTTTAGCTCAGCTCTTGGTTTCCATTGTTCGTATTTGATTCCTCGCCGCAATGCACATACAGCCAGAGGACAAAAGTCGGAGACCCCACAAAGCTTTTCGCAGGAAGAGAGTGCGCTGCTTGGCGGCTGTGGCGGGTCTTGGACTTTTGCCCACTGGCTGTACTGCAGCGCTTCCTTAATCGTCCGCGCGACCTCCGTTGGTGGGCTTTCTCGAGGAGCGACTTTGGTTCAGGGGATCGAGAAACGCAGTGCACGACTCTGCCGCGCGGTTGAGCCAGGAACAGTGGGGTCGCAAGGTTCGCGATGTCGCGATGTCCGTCCCAATTCGGCACTCCTAAAAAGGTTTGCCGCGGAGACCTCAGCTTCGATGAAACTTCCGGACTGATTGAGCGGACGCGGAACGCGTTGTGGTTCGCCATTGGCGACTTCATCCGACTGCGCGCCGAAGTCCTTGACAAAGAGGAGCATCGAGAATTCGTTGGCTGGCGCAAAAAGATCAGCAAGAAGGTGGGGTTTCGAAGTTGTTGAGAAAAAAGCGCCCCGCAAGGCGAACGCAATGGCTAATCCGAAGACGCCATGTGGTTTGCAGATGACGATGGATCGTACAACGTGGGACCTCGCGGATATGCTGTTCTTCCTGCAGCGCAAGTTGTCCTGCTTGGTTCATGAAAACGAGTCCATGTTCGCGGGTCCCAACAAATTCCAGCCAAGGTGAGCGCATCGTGCACTCGGAGCCAGGTTTGTTAGAGAAACGTGCTGACAGACCTTCTACGCCTGTGTCGCCGATACAGCCCGGTGCTTGAAAAAGCGAAAGAAGACCGCGTCGATAATTCTACCACGGCAAGGTTGTTGTGCCTGGTGCTTCGAGATACACGGAAATGGATGTGCTGCACGTCATAAGGAACGTCGTCAACCTGGCGGTGCTGCTCGGGGACGACAATGCAGCACTTACTAAGATCCAGAACGATTACAAGGACCTCCTGATCAGAGACCACCCAAAGCGCACCTCGGCCGAAGACAATACGCGGGAGCTGCAAGACGACGTCATCAAGCTGGAGTTGGCGGTGCGAGTCCAACGTCTGAAGCGGCAGCTTGCTGAGGACAAAGTCGCAACCGCCAAAGCCGACGCTGAAGCCGAGAGGTATGCCGCCGAGGCTGAGGAGATTGCTGAGAAGCGCAAGCGCAAGCGGGGCGTGGACTCCGGGGAGTTGCCAGCCCATGAAGCTCATGAGGACAAAGCCTCGCGAGAGTGAGATGGGGGAAAAGTTTCGGCAGCAGGCGAGGAGTGCAGGCAATCAACCAAGCGCCAAATCCCAGCCGATAAAAGACCACCACTACGCATATAGGTTAGCATAGATACGCAGACATCCCCGCCCATCGATAACTGGGGCGACCCTTAGTCCTTATCATCATAATCAGAAGACGACGGGGGGAGGATGCTGCAACAGTCGCGCACGCGGGCTTTGTTAGAAAGTCCACAGATTGACAGGTCGGTACAAAGTTCAGTGGGCTGAAAGACCCTTCAAGTTGTTGTACAAAGCGAATGGGAACCGGAACCTGCCGAAATCGCAAAGAAAGATTCCATCTCAAAACGAAGCAGCTGTGACATGCGTTCAAGAAGGGGGCCCAGCTCCGATACTTGAAACAAATATATTCCGCGGCCACACAGCGTGCAGACAACCGCTTATCCCCCAAGCGCCCAAGTGCCTTTTCCATATTGACACGGGACCGTCCTTTGTCTGGAAAGTCGACCAACGGTGATCTGGAGGGATCCTCCAAAATCCTCCGCGGCATTTGTTTCTCATTTGAATCCCAGTCCAACGTCCGCTCATGCCAGCAAGTTTTATGTCGGCGGCTGTCGGGGTAGAATGCTCTTGTGTATCCCGTTCTCCGCCTGATCCGACTCAGTGGTAGGCTAGGGTAATTCATAACAGGCAGGGAAATGGAGTTGACTCACCGACAGAACCTGGAATTACCGAACACCGTGCTTCGGGCTGTCGAAAAACTCGGGCGCACGTCGCGCCCCTTGGAAAAGGAAACGTAATGTCCGCACCGTGTCTGATTGTAGTTAGCACCAATCCCGCCGGTTTTCGAGAGCTCCGGCGAGCGCGAGGAAAGGGTTCTGCATATCGGACATGGAATGCATGGCAATTGAGGAGCTCTTCTCATGCTGTATGAGATATTCGCTAACCTTGCAAGGTTTTGGACGCTCTATTCTACCCTGCGTTTTTATATGCAATCACGCGCACTCTAGACATCTCCCATACGCCCTTATGACCCCTGATTTGACGCAAAAGATATATCTTCACTGTCAGGGTTTGCGTTTGTCAAGTGCTCTGCTTTCCACTTACCCCATATTGACAATGTGGTGCGCTTGCTGCGAGCGTAGTCAACATGAGTCAGTGTACTACGACAGGGGAAAACGATTCGTGGCCGCGTATTAACGCGTCAAAACGCAAAGATTTCTTGGCAGTCCACGAACCGCTTCACGCCCACACTGCCACGAAGACGCTCACATTTCTCTCGATGGTCCCTCTCGGTAATATAAAAACTCTCATTCAAGCGGCCAAGTGAAAGCAGCAAGAAATTCCCATCTCAAACTACCTCGCTACCAGTCAACCTCAACAATACAACCAGCTGTCCACAAGCAGTATGCTCGATCTGGACGATCTCAATGACATGGTCGTCGTCATTCTCATCATAGAGGAAAGTCGACTGCATAGCGCGGCTCTGGGGCTTTGCGTGTTGTAGAGGCGTTTCACGCTCATGCACTAACCTGTTTTCTCTTGTACCGACAGATGATTCTGGTGTTTCTCATCGTTGCTCCCCTGCCGGTGGCCACCCGCAAGCGCATCTTTGACAGGACTGCGAACTTGCCCTCTCTCGCAACCAAATGTTTCCTCGCGGGCGTGTTTTTCTTCCTGTCGATGATGCTAATTCGTGAGTTCCTGCAACGACCGCTTCTTGTGGGAGAAATCAAAGTTCACGAACGTTGTCCTTTCTCTCTCTCTTATTCGCATGTTCCTTGCTTTCGCACCCTTTGCACGAAAAGTCAACATCAACAAGCAAATCAAGCCGCACGTGTATTTCGAAAAGATTCAAGCCCTTGGCAAGCTGGTGATATCCATCTTTGCCGAATACCTCACGATCATCATCATCAGCCTGACTTTGTTCAGGCGTGTTGGCGAGCCTATCCTCGAATTGGCTGCCACTCCGCGCGACAACGGCGGCAATGAAACGCAGCGGCTGCTTGCAGCTCAGGTAATAATGAGCTGTGGGACAAGATGCACAACTCCAACGTTCATTTACACTCTCTTTTCTTCATTTGTGGTTTTCTCACAGAGGCCACTTGCCGTCGTTCTTGATCTTGACTAGGCGCGGCGCTCGCAGTGCGCGCTCAGCAGTGAACGAGACTCTCAGAACATTATTATGAAGTGTCGCCGATGAATTGTTAACGTAATAGTTTGCTAAATAAATGAGTCAACATGAATGTCAACGTGGCAACGCGTGTGCTTTGGTTGAGATGCGCTGCAACGCAGCGGGCGCGAAACAAAGGCATTGTTGGTCAAAAACTCACTCGTTCCATATAGAATTTCGTGTTTGCGGCCGCAGCGCGAGGGTAACACGGGGCTTGCCGAAGCTCAGAAGCTCGCTCCCACTTGCCTGTCACTTCTTCCCAACTTGCCCCAATCCCCCGTTCGCCTCACCCCCATCACAAGACGGCCATAGCTGGGAGCTTTAACCTAATCTTATCAGGGCCGCCTAAGCCCGCCGCTAGAGCGGTCCTCCGCGAAAACTACGAAGCGACGCAGTTCCCGTCGGTCGGTCCGGATGCGCTCGCGACGTCAAACGAAGTGTCTGCAATCCGAGACCAAGTCGAACGCAAGATCCGCGAGGAGTGGATTACGCACTCGATGGTTCGTGCCAAAGCGGGAGGGGATTTTTTTGGTGGGGCTCATGCCGGTCGCTAACTTTTTTGACAGCTGTCGACGGACTTCACCAGCGACACCGTCGCCTACCTCGCTCCGGGTCCCAGCGCGAAGGCCTTGCAAGTTCTCCACTGGAATCTTATCAGCAAACGGGGCGGACAGATGTTTGTCTCCGATGAAGACCTCGCAATTGCATTGTGCCTTGAAGAACAGACCGACGAAAACAAGACGCCCAGCGAGTCCGGCAGCCAGATCTACTATGTTCGCAGTTGGGCACTGACGATCGACGAAGTTAAGACCTAGCGAGGGCGTCGCAAGAGGAGGGTCTGTGGTTTCCGGGGCTTCGACGCTGGTTTGCGGCACGCCACGGTCGCAAGTCAACCGATGTGGTATACTTTCGCCATGTCGGCAGTACGACGGGTCCCAAGACGGCCCGCGAAAGTTTCTCAGACGACATGTTTGGGCGTCGCCCAGGCATTGCGTCAGCTTTCTCAACGCATTGCAACGGTTCAACCCGACGGCGTACGGCCGCGTGCGAGTGTTCCTTTTCCCTAGCGCAACATTAAACCCCAACGTCGCTCCGCGTCTCAGGAAGGAACGCGAACTCCAGATCATCGCGTTCCTCGGCTGCGACACCGTTCTGAACCAGGACGCTAGCTTTTCGAACATCATGGATTACCAGTGGGATTATCAGTACGGCGTCCAGTTTCATCAGCTGCAGACAGACTTTTTCCGGAACGTCC